CATCTGAGTGACAAAGCGTTTACACAAAGATATTGTTTGATGCCAGAAGGTATTACTTAATTATTAATTAATAAATTAATGAGAACATAGGCATCATAAGAAAAATAAGAAACTCCTTCCACGTGCAATTTTCATGACTCTTTACTACAGTTTAATTTATCCATGCTTATCATACTGCAATATTATATGGGCGAGCACTTACACAACATCCATCAAACCACTTTACCAACTACAAAAACGCTTTGTTAGAATAGCAGCAAACACACACTTCACAGCACACTCAGCACCCCTGTTTAGCAAATTACAAGTCTTAACTGTATACGACATCAACAAATTACAAACTGCGCTATTTGTCCACAAAATCGTAAATAATACCTCAGAACTACCCGTCCAATTCGAAAGTTTTTTTTTTAAATCCAACTCGGACATTCACCAACACAATACAAGACAGCACAGCCAGTTAAGACCAGTCACAACTAAATCCACACAAAAACAATTCTCAACAAGGAAAATCGTAGATTTCAAACCTCCGGGTTTTTTTTTTTTGTATTGTATTGGTTTAGGTTATTTGTTTGTGTGTAGTATGAAAGTTATGTGCGTAATATGTTTGTATGTGTTTGATGGCTTCTGACGGTTGGTTTGGTATGGACTGTTGATTAACGTGTCTAACAGCCTACACCGTCACCCGCGCCATTACCCCCGCCGTCACCCAAATTTTTTATCGGAACCAGACACCCCTCTGTTTGACCCCTTTTGAATGGTAAGGCCCAAAACTGCAACCTCCCCATTCCTTAACAACATGGTAAATTCCATTTTCAGCATAACGGGGGTGTCCGGAGCACTTAAAAACCTTTTATTTCGACGCCCATAAGCGCATATGCAATTAAACAAAAACGTTCTGCATCATCTGCAGCCCAATAGCAATACGTATACCGAACAACAGACCAATCCGTCCAGCCGATCGCGAGAAACAGCTGCTGACAGAAATGTTTCGAACAATAGTAAAACCTCCTCGCGGAAGGATATCTCCTTCCCCGGAGGTAATAATGTACAGAGGGTCTGTTATCTAGAATAATTTAAATCGTACATTAAAGGACTGTAAATCAATACCCAGCTTCAAAAAACAACTAAAAGAAAATTTCCTACTAAACCCCAGTTACACTTGTACTTACCCAATGATCAATCTTAAAAATTCTTCTCCATCAGAAAGTCCCAAAGGTCTAATTGAGAACCGTGAAAAGAAAACAGACAATCGAACTGTCCAATCTCTCAGAAACGACCCCGGAAGTAAACAAACCCTACATTTGACCCAGATTACTCCTGTATACATCCGAACAACTTACACATCTCCTCCCGCCATCTTAACTACTCAACGGACTAAAATTTGATCAAATTGGGAAAGATTATACCCTACACGTTACATCTCAGCAAAAAGTCTCCAACATGGACCAAATGTTCCAAGGAAAAAAAGAGTTTCTTCCAAGTTAGACAGGCACTATAATCAGCCTCCTACTGCGCAACTCTAACTGTAACCTCTGACCTTTTATCAGATATTAAACCTCCTAGCCTGGACCTTTGCCAGCTACCCTGTTTGACTATCTGTGACCAATCACAGCACGTAATTTTATATGTAGTCACTATACCAGTAACCAGCTCAAGTTACCATACATACGCAGTTAAAAAACAAATAGAATTCACAATCTCAACGGGCGTATCTTTTGTACAATTATGAAAGAAAATCGAGATTGGTCAAAATCGCACTCACGTTACGCTAAGTTGTTGCCAGGCACATAAATATACTTGGAATACGTCGTGCAAGGAGTATAACAAAATGGCGGATGGGTAGACTAAAGGCAAACAAATACGTGGTGGTTGTGTCGGGTGACGAAGCCATATTTGTTTCACTTACATGAGACACCGCACAAGTATGCCGTTCTACTTTGGTTTCACAAAGTAAAATATGTGAAAAACAGCTTACTTATACTTATTCTACTCCCTTAAAGACATGTAATTCAAAGAAATGTGTTCGTTACCACACTTACCGTCGTGCCGCCCGCGTTCTACCGCTGAGGATTATTTCATTTTGGGAATCAATGGGGGTGTTCAGCAACAAAACGGCATTGATAAGAAAGAAAGAAGAAGGAAAAGAAGAGACTAGATAATAGAAATTAGCATTTTATATATATCTGCCACATAACTCCTATTCAAAAACAACATATGATGATACAATTTTGACATTTGTCCCCGTAAAACAATAACGCTAACTTGTCAAACCCTTTCAATTGAATAGTAGCTCTAGAACAAAGGGGATTCCCCTAGATGCCTGATGGATGCGTTATGGATTCTTCGTTTTCACGTGACGTCGGAATACAGTACTAACAGCATAAACTTTAACGTAATTACGACAAAGGCAAAACGCACACATGGCGTTTTGGTTCGACACAAGATTCGGTATAGGCAGCTCATTTTTCAAAGCATATGCCGATCAAAGCCAATGGTTGAAACTTTCTCCTCAAACCTAGCCTTGGCTACACCACTTAATGTTGTACAGTAAGAGGACAAAGACAACCATAGCACTCTGGCACACAGATACCTTTCACAGTGCCATTCTTTATATCGTGTGTTCTATACATCCAACATGGCGCCGATGCGGTTTTCGAACGTCTAAACGCATTCCGTGAAAACGAAGAATACGTAGTTATGATGTGAGGTATATGTATGGAGCGTCTAACGAATTGCAGGTTCCTTTGTAACAAAAAATTCCATATTGTCTTCCAGGGGTGGTTTGAAAATAAAAAGAAGTAAACGTACGAAGTTATAATAATTATTAGCTTGGCCGCGTCAAAATCCCTTACATCATAACCTTGTACAAGTTCGTACTTCCCCGCCCTCTCTTCTAGCTTGGGCCACGTCACAAAAACGTCACAACTTCATATAACTTCGTACAGTAGCCTTCGCCCACTGTACGAAGTTGGGCCACGTCACAATCTCACATGCGAAGGTAGCTTGGGTACGTCATAATCCCATATACGTCATAGCTTCGTACAACCCCGGCCCTCTCTGCGAAGATCAGATCAGGCCGACCACAATCCCTTACATCATAGCCCCTCCTTCGCACTTGGGCTACGTCACAGATGACTGCCGTATAGAAAATCAGCCCTGTCTTCTTTTGTGGCAGATGTAACATTACATCTTTGGTTCGTTGGTCGTTATAATTATTACGGGAACCATGAACACGAGACAGGAGACAAACATGCTATTTCTGTCTTTATTTCTACGCTTCCTTTACGTACTTCGCATGTCTACTTCACCTACCTTATAAATCTGCAGGTAGCTCCGACTTCATGTTCTATATTACTAAAACAACGCGTGAAGGGGAGACGCTCGTCAAAGGACATGCGCACGGTTGGCGCGCTTGGTGAGAACTTCAAAACCCTTTTTGGGCTAAATTTTGTTGATTTTTGGCATTTTCATGTTGGATTGTAAAGTGTATGATTCTGAGTTCATGTTGTTTTGCAAAAAATTAAGTTTTTTCATGAAATTGCCTGGCTATTGGCTTATCTGTTACCCTACACCCCTCGCCTATCGGTTGGTATCGACCTGAAATTTGGGGTTAAAGTGAATCAATGTTTAGAAACAGACCGATACCTCGACTCTCGGTGATCGGAATTTCCCGAAAAGTCTTGCAGGTACATATTAATAAATGGGCTTTTGTATTCTTTAACGTGTCGTGTCACGTGCTTGCCTGTAATGTTCCGCTCGTGCGCGTAATGGCAGGATCCCGTGGCGTTGTAAGTTGAATTTATACTCTCCAAGTCAATTTCGTCTGCTAAATCACAGTGGGGGAATTTTCAACCCTATTGCGACGCCCAGGGCATCCCTGAATCCTCTTTTTCTCTGTTCACTTTCGTGTCAATTCATGAAATATTGTTTTTGTACATGGAAGATTATATCATTAAACGTATACGGTTTACATGGAGCTCTTGCATGTCTAATTTTTATCATTCTTCTTAAATTTGTAGGTCAATTGGTAACTACTATCACATCTATCGATGTGTTGTTTGTTTGACAAATCCACAACCCTCTTTTGGTAATATTCTGTTCCAATTTGAGGAGTACATGACAACTTTGGGAAATGCCGATTATTGTATACTACATGAAGACAGAGTAGTATTTGGTAGAACGATGACAGGCAGTCAGTCATCTGTTTTTACAGCGAGCACACGTACAGACATGCTGTGTGTTTCCTATTCAGTTTGCCGTGTGAATTTCTGTCATTTTGTGCACAAGGGATATCGACGTTTACAGTATGAAGAAGTCCCCATTAGCATGTCATGATAAGAAAGTGCTATGCTGTGCATCTGTAGCGTATGCCTTCTAGAGGAGGGGTTAAAGTGCATAGGTATAATATTAAAGTTAAAGTTAATAGTTAAGAATATTAACAGGTGGCTGGGTGGCCCTGTCCAGAGGCAATTGCATAATAAGGTACTTATCGGCTTGTAATAGGGCTTTCTGAAAATAAGGATCGATTACGGTAATTATGCATTAAATATGTAGCAGGTTATTTTGTCCGTCAGCCTAAAAATATTTGGTAAGGGTACACCGTCACATAATAATGGTGTGGCTTAAAGGGGAATTAAGTAGAATGAAGTAACACACCGGTCGCGTATCCAGATCAAGGATATTATATTATATATATATAAATTAGAGGTGCCGGCGGTCAGTCTATCATCCGAAGGCAAGACAAACACCCACTTATTATCGGAGACCGTGCGCCATGCATAGGCTGTCGTGCCTGTTTGTAATTGAAATAAGCTGGATAAAGTTGGACAAGTTTAATTATCTAGTCTGGAACAATGGTGCATGGTAATAACCGGAAGACAATAGGGCTTATTCACCACAGATGGTCACGTGACTCTTCCCACGCCTGTTTCGAGCGGAACATTTAGTTCGAACGCGCCGCTCCGCGCCTAACCTTATTTGCATATATGGGAAAATTAACCTGCTCATTTGCATATATGGGAAAATACCGTGTTCCCGCTAGCGCACTGTGACTTTTGGCCTTTGACACCACAAATCATGACGTATAGTCACATGCAACCATTTGCAATGGGAACAACGTTGCTACAGGGTAGCGAACAGAGTCTTGCGAGAATTGGTTGAGTCTTTAGCACCTCTAAGCCGCGAGAATGCAGAAATTACGAAGAAAACTGGCTGGTCTCTCTTCGGATGTGTATTAAAGAGCCTGGTAAGTAACGTTTACTTCTTGATATTTCCGTATGACTACAAGTTTTTCAGGAGCAAACTCTGGTGGTTTTCAAACCACAAATAATTTTATGTGTCTCTTAGAGCTGGAAAACTGGCGTTAGCCTGACACTTTCTTATTAGCAATATGGGGCGTGAAATGTTTAGATGCATGTTACACCATATTTACACGTTCGACTCATTAGCATCGGCAGTGTGTTCACACGTGTTACATAACTGTTGTTTGGGTTGCATGTATTTCCATACCTGTTCAAAAACTCCACTGCACTTGTTTCCTCAATTTTCCTCGTTTTGGGCCGACATAAGCATGGGACAGATCGGTTGCATTGGTGCATATAAAAGGAAAATAGCCCCCCTCCCCAAGTAGTATCACTCATGTACTAGTATATAATTTTGTGAATGTTTTCTTAACTTAGACTAGTTAAAGGGAACCCTGTACTGCTGTTGCCAATATTAACGAGGGAGACTTCAGTTTGCAAAACGTGAGTAAATGCCAGTTTTACACATGTAAAATTATGATATATATAGTAGTTCTTTACAGTGTGCATCATACAGCAATAGTCAGTACAATTGAGCAAAACAATTGTCCACGCTTTGTTTTGGTACTGCTGCATGAAAAGATCTAACTATGAATTCTACCTGTCAACTGTTTACATTTGTAACCATACAGTGCTATTGTGTTCACAGAAATGCCACAAGTACATGTATATAATACTTAGTAATGCTAAACATTGTTTCTACTCCGTAATTTGTTAACATCATTTCTAGATAACTACATTTGTACATTTCTCCTTCCTTTCTTTGGTGCAGGCACACCATCCTGTCTCCCTGGATGCACCTGTAGCAGATGGGTTTCCAGTGTGGACTTGAGCCGTCTCACCGCATCCGGGATGGAGCTGGTTGATCGGTTGATCCGATTGAAAACGGCATGGACCTGTTCCACCCCTTGCTCCCCATGAAAACCCAACCCAACCCCCCACACCTTATCCAGGGTATGACATGTTCTTCCAAGAGGTGCATCTTGACGGATACAGACGAGGTAGGGAACAGCTCTCTGTACCTTGGCCAGGAAGTGCTTGATACTGCAGTCTGTAACATAAAAAGAATGGTATTGATTGATTATGTATTAATTTACTATGAAAAACATTATGATGTCAATTGCATATCCAAAATAACTTTTAATGTTGGTAGTAGATCAAAATGGGTTGATGACTAAGAACCCACCTAGATTGGATATCTCCTCAAGCTGCCTTACATGTGCTTCTATTGTTCCTGATAGGCACTGGACTGATGCAGCTGGCAGCAGCTTGACAGTGAGACAGTTGTCACCGTCCTTTGCAGTGAAGGGCAGCAGTTCACTAACCACTCCATGTGGGCTGAGGAGTTCGCCTGCAATCCTTCTCGACTCCTTTTCAGACTCAACAGAGATGCCATATTGAACCAGCCATCTGGAATAGGGTAGGAAGATATTGCACTTAACAAATGAAAAGAAACAAATATTCTTCATCAATGTTCCATTTAATTTATATGATACAATTAAAACATGTTTTTATAGCTTCCAAAAAGCATTCACTGCCATATACCATGTACTAAGGTTTACTTGTATCTTTAGTTCATTGTGATCCAGCCTTACTATTGCCTGAATACAGTTAATGTTACAGACAACTGTTACAAGTACATAGCTGAAAGCTGACCTTTTCATTTCTCTTGTCTGATGCCAGGTTATGCTCAGGTCTGTTTTTGCTGACAGGAGACTGGCTGCTGGAATACGGATCTTGTCCAGCTTGACAGCTTTTAATGCAGCCTGTAAGTCTTCACGAGGTAGGCGTTGCAACTCCTTAGTAAGCTGTAGCGCAGTGTCTCCTCTACTGGTTATCTTCCTGGCTGTCTCTACTTCTTTCACCCTTCTCCTTACTGTTGTAGGGGTCACATCTGTTGTCGCTTTCCTAGCCTTCGTCAACTTGCGAAGGATTGGCTGCGTATTGAATAATACATGTATATTTTAGTTGCTGGTATTGTGATCCTGCAACAAACATGTGTATATATATTTATATCATACCCGGACCGCTATAATCTTTGATAACTGCATTCCGGAACTTTACGGCCCAGCTCGGAATACTGTACTGTGTATGATGCAGTCTTAATTGCTGATACTGTGGAATACTGTACTGTGTATGATGCAGTTTTAATTGCTGATACTGTGGTATTCTGTACTGTGTATGATGCAGTTTTAATTGCTGATACTGTGGTATACTGTACTGTGTATGATGCAGTTTTAATTGCTGATACTGTGGTATACTGTACTGTGTATGATGCAGTTTTAATTGCTGATACTGTGGTATACTGTACTGTGTATGATGCAGTTTAATTGCTGATACTGTGGTATACTGTACTGTGTATGATGCAGTTTTAATTGACTGATACTGTGGTATACTGTACTGTATATGATGCAGTTTTAATTGCTGATACAGTGGAAAACTGTACTGTGTATGATGCAGTTTTAATTGCTGATACTGTGGTATACTGTACTGTGTATGATGCAGTTTTAATTGCTGATACTGTGGTATACTGTACTGTATATGATGCAGTTTTAATTGCTGATACTGTGGAAAACTGTACTGTGTATGATGCAGTTTTAATTGCTGATACTGTGGTATACTGTACTGTGTATGATGCAGTTTTAATTGCTGATACTGTGGTATACTGTACTGTATATGATGCAGTTTTAATTGCTGATACTGTGGAAAACTGTACTGTGTATGATGCAGTTTTAATTGCTGATACTGTGGTATACTGTACTGTGTATGATGCAGTTTTAATTGCTGATACTGTGGTATACTGTACTGTATATGATGCAGTTTTAATTGCTGATACTGTGGAAAACTGTACTGTGTATGATGCAGTTTTAATTGCTGATACTATGGAATACTGTACTGTGTATGATGCAGTTTTAATTGCTGATACTGTGGTATACTGTACTGTGTATGATGCAGTTTTCAATTGCTGATACTGTGGCTAGGAATATTCACATTTCTTGAAATTTTCTATACTATTTTTTTATAGTATGTTTCATGTCATACCAGACTATAGCTAAAATAAGGTTATTGATATCTCCTGTTGTTGATGAGACTGAGAGCACTAACCTGTCCCCCTGTTTTGCAGGATACTGTTTGGCCATCACAGGAGGCAGCTAATTGTCTCCTTATGAGAGACAACAGAAGCTCATTCTCCCACGCTTGTATGGCCGGCCCTGCACTTGTCAAGGTACGTATGACTTGTTGCACAGCAGGGGGGAGAATGGGAGCTGGGCAGGGGAGAATGGGAGCTGGGCAGGGGAGAGTGGAAGCTGGACAGGGGAGAGTGGAAGCTGGAGAGGGGAGGATGGAAGCTGGAGTGGGGAGAATGGAAGCTGGAGATGGGAGAGTGGAAGCTGGAGATGGGAGAGTGGAAGCTGGAGATGGGAGAGTAGAAGCTGGAGAGGGGAGGATGGGAGCTGGAGATGGGAGGATGGGAGCTGGAGATGGGAGGATGGGAGCTGGAGAGGGGAGGATGGGAGCTGGAGATGGGAGGATGGGAGCTGGAGTGGGGGGAATGGAACCTGGAGTGAGGAGGATGGAAGCTGGAGATGGGAGAGTGGAAGCTGGAGATGGGAGGATGGGAGCTGGGGAGGGGAGGATGGGAGCTGGAGAGGGGAGGGTGAAGGCTGGAGAGGGGAGGGTAGCCCTTGTCAGGTGAGCTGCCTCAGGCATGCAGGCTAATCTTGGAGACATTTCTTTGACCTGGAAATAATAATGACCATAATGATATTTTCTGTTGCTATCAGGAATCCTGAAGCCCACAAAACCAGATCTACAAGTGCCTTTTGCATCTACTCAAAGGAAAGGTGTGGAAGAAGTTTCCTGGACCAGATTGCTATGATCAGCCATCATACTGTTTCGGTCTACATTCTGAGCAATACATGTTATGTTTATGGGTAGTTTATTCATATTAGATGTAACAAAGCATACCACCTTTATTAAGGTTCAACATCATGGAATGGATCAAATTTTCTATGGACTGAGGTGTTAAGTTTAAGAGTTCCTACTTGAATTCATAGAGCTCACTTGAAAGTTTTTGCAAGGATTATAGAAGGTGATATTCAGTTGTTGTTTAATTTAACATTTATAAACAAGGTGTCAAAGATGAGAAGAACCAAGGTATAAAGTTGTTCTGGTATGAATAATCATTGTCATTGATTGAGATGGATATGAAGACAAGAAATAAAAAAAAAGCACATAGACACACAAGTGTTTCCTATCTGTTTGAATGAATGAGCTGTTTACATTATGTTTTACATAGCTTACCCTTCTTCTCCTTTGGGGAGGGGCAATACTCTGGGTGGTCGCAGAAGGTTTCTTGTGGACATCTAACAGTGTT